TGCAAAAATCGTAAAATCGAAAAATGGAAAAATCGTTAATATAAAATTTAAAAAATCGAAAAACTAAAAATCAAAAAACTAGAAATCGACAAATCGAAAAACTTACAATTAAAAAATCGGGAAATCAAAAAAATTAAAATTCGAAAAATTTCAAAATTCGAAAAATTGAAACATGTATTTACATGCTAAAAAGATCAAAATTAGGAATTTGAAACATCAAAAAAACGTAAAATCAAAAAATGGAAAAACCGTCAACATAAAATTTAAAAATCAAAAAACTGAAACTACTTCGGTCAAAATAGACATTTCAAATAACAAAAACTCCGACAAAGCTGAATTTTGGTACAAACCTCGGATACACCAGTAGAAATAAAGGGGCAAGTGTCTCCATAGATCCCATGTGTGCTAAAAAAGTTATTCAATGTCAAAAGTCAAAATTTTTGATTTTTTGGATTTTTCTCGAAAACAGTAAGTTTTATCAAAAATTGTAGATCATGAAATTATCTACAAAAATGATTCTTATACCTTTTTTCTTAAGAATCACCATTCCCAAGATATCGCCGTTCTAAAAGTTGAAGGAGTTACATTCTACGTGATGATGCACACAAATGCCACGTATATACATAAAATTTAAAAAATCTAAAAAGTAAAAATCTAAAAAGTAGAAATCGAGAAAAATTGAAATATGTACATACATGCTAAAAAGATTAAAATTGGGAATTTGAAAAATCAAAAAAAAGTAAAACAGAAAATGAAAAATTCGGTAACACAAAATTTAAAAAATCGAAAAACAAAATCAGAAAAATAGAAATCGAGAAATCGAAAAATATACAATTAAAAAAATCTAAATATTGAAGAATCGAAAAAGCAAAAAATCGGGAAATTGAAAAACCGTACAATCGGAAAGTCGAAAAATCAAAAAACCGAGGAATCGAAAAATCGAAATTGAAAAATTGAAACATCTAGAAATCGAAACATCAAAAGTTTGAGAAATCGAAAAGCTCAAAAGTCGGCAATCGAAAATGTTTAAATTCACACATTTAACTGAAAAAACCGGATACATAAATCGATAAATAAAGAAATCGAAACATCGAGATCTCGATAAATTGGAAAATCGGAAAACTGAAAATTGAAAAATTTAAAAACCGAAATATCTAAATGCGAGACGTCCAAAAATCGAAAGATGAAATAGAAACACCTAAAATTAAAAAAAATGAAAAATTAAAATGTTGAAAAATTGATGAATCGAAACACTGGAACATCGAAAACTTGAAAAATCGAAAAACTGAAAAGTCTGATTTAATCAATAATAAAATAAATTGACACATTAATTAATTTTTTTGAGCCACCTGTATAAGCAAATCTTAAAAATATGAATGCAATGATAATTCACAAGTAAAAACTCTTAATGGGGGCAAAATCTGTTTTATCTTAACAAATACTAGGCTCTCCCACCCCCCCCCCCCCTCTTTTTTTCTCAGGGGATGTTATTTGCCGAAATAAGTCTTATCCTAGCAAGTGTTAACCCTGCCCACCCACCCTTTACTTTCTTAGAGGGTATGTCATTTGCCAAAATCAGTCTTATCTTATCAGGTACTAGCCCCACCCACTCGCCCCCTATATTCTCAAAGGATATGTCATTGCCAAAATAAGACTTATGTTAGCAAGTACTAGCCCCGCCCTCCCGCCTTTTGTTTTCTCGGAGGGTAGTACTTGCTAGTACTTGCTAAGATAAGTCTTATTTTGGCAAATGGCATACCCTCTGAGAAAATAGGGGCGGGTGGGAGGGGCTAGTACTTGCTCAGATAAGACTTATTTTGGCAAACGGCATACCCTCTGAAAAAATAGAGGGCGAGTGGGCAGGGCTAGCACTTGCTAAGATAAGACTGATTTTGCCCCTATTAAACTTGTAAAACTTGTTAAATTTAAAAGGTGTTAAATTACATATTTCTACAGTAACGAGTTAAATTCCTAAATCTGATTGGATATTTATTTTTTACCAACTGAGTCATTAATTTTTCTGAGACACCCTGTATAAGCAAATTTAAAAAATATTAATTATATATGTATTAATAATAAATCACAAGGATAAACTCATCATATTTTGCACATTTAAGACAGGATACATTCAGCAATATTTTCAGGTGACGTCATCAATTTTTTAGGGGGGATGAGAAAATATTTTTGAACAAAAATTTACCATGATAACTTTAAAACATCTCCAAGATTTGAAAGGATTCGTTTTTGCAGTTCCTGATTAAATCAATCAAATAAATTCACGCATTCATTAATTTTTTTTAATCACCCTGTTTAAGCAGATTTAAAAAATGTATTATGCTTGCCATAAGCTTAAAAGACCTGCAAGATTTCAAAGAATTCAGTTTGGCAGATTCAAAATTAAATTGCAAAATGTAGTTTTATAATTTTGATTTTTTTCAAAAAATCTCGACGTTTTGGGTAAAAACTCAACACGGAGTCATAAACTACATGTGTAGGACTATGTTTATTTTATACAATTTAAAGCCTATTTACTATCTATTCCTAATATAAATACAAAATTTGACAATAATCGGCCTAGTACTTGCGAAGATTATCTGTCTAATCAAGACGGCAGACGGACAGACAAACAGACAGACAGACTTAAACGGGAGACCTATTTCTTCGTACTCTAGGGGTCATGAACTCGATTCGCTTACGCTCGGGAAGTAAAAAATCGACAAAATAAAGGCGACAAAAAATGAACAAAAGTAGCGAGATTATGAACAAGTACCAAAGATAATCTTGTCTAATTTAGAGAAAAATGACCTGACCTAACCTAATCTGAAGAAATAACCCATTGGTCTTTTTCGCGCGTGAGAAGAGGTTTTAGCAACGAACAGTGACTGAAAATACTTCTGATAAGTTGCGAAATGGAAAATATTGTTTCAGTTCATTTGCATATTATTATCGTATTTTAAACAATTAACAAACATTTTTTTGTTTAACCACAAATCTATCAATTTTTTGTAACCAATCTCTTATTCAGCTTCCCGTAAATTGATTTGAAAATTCCCATTCTGATAATTCCAGAGGCAACTTAATCAACTTTTTTTATTAGTTGACGGAAAAGCCACGTCATACATTTACAATGACAGATGAGGTAGTATTAGACATCTATAATTAAAAATCGTAGAAAACACTTAAATAAACTGCATTGTGAGATACACGCTAAATAACCAATAATACTTCGAGATAATCAATTTATATTAACCATATCGATTCAAGTATCATTCGGCCATTACAACCAACAACAACCTTATTTAAATGACAAGGCTCTTTGCCACTAAATTACCCTTCTATTAAAAATAGAAACTTTATCAGTTAATAAAATTAATGGACTTATTGATCTTTCACTTAATACCTTATGTAACGCCTGACGAACAAGATTTCCTATTTGATAAAATGTGCATACACATATTATAGTGTCATTTAGGAAAAAGCACACAAGAAAATTTATTTATACGCACGAACATTGCCTACATCGTGGGTTAATAATAGTTCTCGTAATACACAAATGGTCGATATTCTTCGTCTATTGGTTTTTAATAAATTAAACGGAAATGAAAGTCTGGTTAAAAACAATTATGATGAAGTCCGAAAATACAAGATTAAATTATTCTCATTCTGTGCTTTATTGAGGATGTGACGTCACCTTTCAAACTTTGAGTTGGTATAATATCTTTTTTTTAGTAGTTTAGTATTCATGATTCGGCAAATAAATAAATACGTGTATCTAAAATATACAACTTTGAAAAATGTTTGGATATATGATTCGGAGCACCACTGTTGAGTGCGATAACAAAACCCGCTCTCCCTGAAATATTGTTTAAAATAAATCCTTGTTGTTAAAAAAATGTTCGGCAGAATAAAAAATCAATAGACATTTATTCTAAAAATCAGCAGCTTCCAATCACTTTATCAAATATTGACACTAAACAAACCGCCTCAAATTAAAATAAAACACCTTCACCCGAACATATTAAAATAATAATAAATTACCAAAAATCCCGCGTGTTTAAACGTTACAACAGGTTAAAACTCGTTGTATATAAACATTTGCAAACATTTTAAAAATAGCCTCGTCGGCCGGAATATTAAGTTATTGGAAGTCTGACCTTAAAAAATTTAAACACCTGAAATTATCCGAAAACATTTCCAGGATTATAACTCGACCACTAAACTCGCTTTATGGCGTCTGCAAAACGAAAACCCCCACAGTCCTTGCAATATTTAAACATTAAAAAACAGCCGCTCCGACGTCCCTTTTGTTTCATAATTAAAGCCTTGCCAAGGATGTCGTCCTGTCTAATAATTTATACATGTTTCCGTAGTATCTTGTTAAATCCCGCGGTTTATGGCACGATTAAACTTAGACCTTAAATAAATGATCAAAAACTTAGCGTTGGAAAACATAACGAATTTGAGGCGTTTATCACAGACGAGAATTCGCTCTTTGAAACTTTTCAATCAAACGAGATCAATCGCTGGGCCGTGACGTACAACATTTACAGAAAACTCGGCTTTGATTAGGTTCAAGGTCGATTTTGAGCACAGCTTGTCATAACAACGTGTCTGGGTTGGCTACAATGCGTCGTTGACGTCAGCGACTTGCAACGTACGAAACAGTGCCGCCAACTTTGCAGCTCTGGAGTGGTTTTAAAAATATGAAAATCCACTGCGTTGCGAAGATTTATTTAGAAAATCCATTGCAGAATAGAACACTGAGAGCAAAATGGAGAAAAGTCTAATAATAGAAACGAAGGAACTTCAAACTCGAACAGATCACGAATAATGTTACATCTATTCCCAGTTCCTCCGCCATTAAATATCTCGCTTGGATGCAATTCCTGTTTACTCTTTACATTTCTAACTGGAATAAACAAAAAATGGTATTTTCCAACCCCGTCGAAAAAAATTTGTAAGTAATGGCTTTATTTTTATAACGAGGTTCGAATACTTACCATCGAGCTCTGATAGGGTGGACTCGCCGCTGTCGAAGGGTTCGGGGTCCCTTCGATAGCTCCTGTGATGGAGTCCCGAATCGGATCCCGAACGGCAATGGGAATAAGCAGTTCCAGGATAATAGTGCATCTTGGCTGCACTGTTTGCCTTTTATCACCACATCACTAAGATATTTTTTGGCACTAAGAGTCTAGCACTAAGAGGAGTGTGAGTTTTTTGCTTTCGTAGTGTCATTGTGGGCGAAACGGCACAACTGAAACGGGAGCGGAATGGGTTATCTAATCCTTATCGGTGGCTGTACTGATTTAATTAATTCATTAATTCTTTTTGTTGATAACAATTAATCAGCTGTCAGAAAAAATTATTCTATGCAACAAAGTTTGGGTTAATTTTTTAATTTCGTATTTATTTATTTGTGATTATTGATTTTTCTAGAATTTGCATTATGATTCTTTGTTCTAAAATAGAATTTAAAATCAAATTCTTCTCTGAGCAAGTAGGTTGCCGTGGAAATGTGGAAATTTGAGGGTAAACATCGCAACTTTTATTATCGATTTTTTATACATATGAAGTCATAGCTTAAAATTTTGTTGTACATATCAGAAAATTTCAAAACGGACAATTGCCAGAATGACTTGTTTTAACTAATTTTTAGCTTTTTATAATGGAAATTTGGGGTAAATCTTGTATATAATCTTCTAAGGACTAACGCAATTTTCTTTTTAACAAAAATCAATAAATCACCTATTTAAACAACGAAGATTTTGCTTTAATCAATAAAAATATTATTTAGCTTACTCATAAAAAAAATAATTTTTATTAAATCATACTACAAACGTAAAGAAATACTTTTCTCTGTGTATAGTCGAAAAATCCTTGATATCCCCAAAACTGAGTGAACTGAAAATTAACTGTGTGGATAAAAAAATGTTGGAAATAAAACTAACAGTTTTAATTATTGATTTTTATACACATAACGTCAATACTTAAAATTGTGTAACGTCACAAACTTTAAAAACGGGATAACTGATAATGTGAGTTAAAATATAATAGTCAAATTCAATTTTGGGCGCACCCTGTATACAGTTTTCTAAGAGCTAATACAATTTCCATTTTTAACAAAAATCAATAATTCATTTATTTAAAAAACAAAGATTCTCACATTCTAAAGGACAATTAAATTTAAACGGAAAGAAATACTTTTCTCTGTGTATAGTTGAAAAAACCTTGATATCCACAGAACAGAATAAACTGAAAATTAACTGTATGAATCAAAAAATGCTGACCAGAATAATTTTAAAAATTTTGGATTTGACTTTTCACTGACAAAAAAAAATATTTTCAATCGACAATTTAACAATAACAAATAAACTCAATTTATCAAAAATGCCCTTTAATTATAACACGAAGTCTAATTATTGAACTCTATCTAAAATTTTAAACAAACATAAAGAAGGTGTTTGGAAACAAAATTGACAGTTTTAATTATTGATTTTTTAAACATATGACGTCATTGCTTAAAACTGTATAACGTCACAGTCTTGAAAAACGGCACAACTGACAATGTGAGCTAAAATATAATTGTCAAATTTTCCAATCTTACTACAAATTGAATTTTGGTGACACCTGTATTTCGTTTTCTAAGGGCAACGCAATTTTCATTTCTAGCAAAAATCAATAATTTATCTGTTTGAAAATCTAAGATTCTGTGAAAATCAATAATTAGTTTACGCTTAAAACAATTAATATTTGGTTTTTCATACTATTAAATTCATCTCACCTTCTAAAGCACAATTTAATACAAACGACAAGAAAAACTTTTCTCTGTGTACAGTTGAAAAATCCTTGATAAGTTCAAAACCGAGTGAACTGAAAATTAACTGTGTGAATCAAAAAATGTTGACCAGCATAATTTTAAAAATTTTGGATTTGACTTTTCACTGACAAAAAAAAATAATTTTCAATCGACAATTTAACAATAACAAATAAACTCAATTTATCGAAAGTGCCCTTTAATTATAACACGAAGCCTAATTATTGAACTCCATCTACAATTTTAAACAAACATAAAGAAGGTGTTTGGAAACAAAATTGGTACTTTTAATTATCGATTTTTTAAACATATGACGTCATTGCTTAAAACTGTATAACGTCACAATCTTGAAAAACGGCACAACTGACAATGTGAGCTAAAATATAATTGTCAAATTTTCCAATCTTACTACAAATTGAATTTTGGTGACACCTGTATTTCGTTTTCTAAGGGCAACGCAATTTTCATTTCTAGCGCAAAAATCAATAATTTATCTGTTTGAAAATCTAAGATTCTGTGAAAATCAATAATTAGTTTACGCTTAAAACAATTAATATTTCGTTTTTCATACTATTAAATTCATCGCACCTTCTAAAGCACAATTTAATACAAACGACAAGAAAAACTTTTCTCTGTGTACAGTTGAAAAATCCTTGATAAGTTCAAAACCGAGTGAACTGAAAATTAACTGTGTGAATCAAAAAATGTTGACCAGAATAATTTTAAAAATTTTGGATTTGACTTTTCACTGACAAAAAAAAATAATTTTCAATCGACAATTTAACAATAACAAATAAACTCAATTTATCGAAAGTGTCCTTTAATTATAACACGAAGCCTAGTTATTGAACTCCATCTACAATTTTAAACAAACATAAAGAAGGTGTTTGGAAACAAAATTGGTACTTTTAATTATCGATTTTTTAAACATATGACGTCATTGCTTAAAACTGTATAACGTCACAGTCTTGAAAAACGGCACAACTGACAATGTGAGCTAAAATATAATTGTCAAATTTTCCAATCTTACTACAAATTGAATTTTGGTGACACCTGTATTTCGTTTTCTAAGGGCAACGCAATTTTCATTTCTAGCAAAAATCAATAATTTATTTGTTTGAAAATCTAAGATTCTGTGAAAATCAATAATTAGTTTACGCTTAAAACAATTAATATTTCGTTTTTCATACTATTAAATTCATCTCACCTTCTAAAGCACAATTTAATACAAACGACAAGAAAAACTTTTCTCTGTGTACAGTTGAAAAATCCTTGATAAGTTCAAAACCGAGTGAACTGAAAATTAACTGTGTGAATCAAAAAATGTTGACCAGAATAATTTTAAAATTTTGGATTTGACTTTTTCACTGACAAAAAAAAATAATTTTCAATCGACAATTTAACAATAACAAATAAACTTAATTTATCGAAATTGCCCTTTAATTATAACACGAAGTTTAATTATTGAACTTCATCTAAAATTTAAAACAAACATAAAGAAGGCGTTTGGAAACAAAATTGACAGTTTTAATTATTGATTTTTTAAACATATGACGTCATTGCTTAAACTGTATAACGTCACAGTCTTGAAAAACGGCACAATTGACAAAGTGAGCTAAAATATATTAGTCCAATATTCCACTCTAGCTACAAATAGAATTTTGGGGACACCTGAGTATCGTTTTCTAAAGGCAACGCAATTTCCATTTCTAGCAAAAATCAATAATTTATCTGTTTAAAAACTAACATTCTGCTAAAATCAGTAATTAGTTTACGCTTAAAACAATTAATATTTCGTTTTTCATACTATTAAATTCACCTCACCTTCTAAAGCACAATTTAATACAAACGACAAGAAAAAATTTTCTCCGTGTACAGTTGAAAAATCCTTGATAAGTTCAAAACCGAGTGAACTGAAAATTAACTGTGTGAATCAAAAAATGTTGACCAGAATAATTTTAAAAATTGTGGATTTGACTTTTCACTGACAAAAAAAAAATATTTTCAATCGACAAATTAAAAATAACAAATAAACTCAATTTATCGAAAACGCCCTTTAATTATAACGCGAAGTCTAATAGTTGAACTCCATCTAAAATTTTAAACAAACATAAAGAAGGTGTTTGGAAACAAAATTGGCAGTTTTAATTATTGATTTTTTGAACATATGACGTCATTGCTTAAAACTGTATAACGTCATAGTCTTGAAAAACGGCACAACTGACAATGTGAGCTAAAATATAACAGTCAAATTTTCCAATATAACTACAAATTGAATTTTGGGGACACCTGTATTTCGTTTTCTAAGGGAAGTGCAATTTTCATTTCTAGCAAAAACCAATAATTTATCTGTTTGAAAAACTAAGATTCTCCGAAAATCAATAATTGGTTTACGCTTAAAACAATTAATATTTCGTTTTTCATACTATTAAAATCACCTCACCTTCTAAAGTACAATTTAATGCAAACGACAAGAAAAACTTTTCTCTGTGTACAGTTGAAAAATCCTTGATAAGTTCAAAACTGAGTGAAGTGAAAATTAACTGTGTGAATCAAAAAATGTTGACCAGAATAATTTTAAAAATTTTGGATTTGACTTTTTCAGTGACAAAAAAAAAATAATTTTCTTACAATAATTTATCAATAAGAAATGAACTCAATTTATCGGAAATATCCTTTAATTATTACACGAAATCAACTATTTTGGAATATCTAAAAGAAATTAGGTGGACTTCATGTAAAATTTAACATACAAAGAATTTGTTTGGAAATAAAATTGACAGTTTTAACAACTGATTTTTTAAACATATGACGTCGCAGTGTGTGAGTTAAAATGTATTTAATAGTCAAATTTTCCAGATAAAATTTTGGGGACACCTGTATATCGTTGCAATGCAGTTTTCATTTAAAAAAAAAACAATAATTTATCTGTGTAAAAAACTAAAATTCTGCTAAAATTAATAAAAATGTTACTAGTTTACTCTTAAAAAATGTAATCGTTGTTTCAACTATTACAGTCATCTGATATTCTAAAGCATAATTTAATTCAAACGAAAAGAAACACCGTTCTCTGTCTATAGTTGTAAAATCCTTCATATCCTTATTGAGTGTGAATAAAAAATATCCACTAGAATTATTTTAAAAATTTTGAATTTCACTTTTTCACTGATAAGAAAATTAATTTTCAATCAATTTTTTAACAATAACAAATGTGCTATATATTCTTATACGAAACCTAACTGTACTGGAATATCTACAAGAAATTAGTTGAACTTCATTCAAAATTTTAAACAAACATGAAGTGGGCGTTGGAAACAAAATTGACACTTTTAATTATTGATCTTTTGTACATATGACGTCATTACTTAAACCTCTTTAACGTCACAAGCCTGAAAAACGGCACAACTGACAGCGTGACTTAATATATAATAGTCAATTTTCCCGGTCTATGTAGCTACGAATTGAAATTTGGGGACACCTGTATATAATCTTCTAAATGCGAATAAACTTTTTATTTTCACAGAAATCAATTATATTTTTATGTAGTAGACATTCCACAAAGATCAACAAAAAACTTACTCAGAAAATTAAAACTATTTAATTTGAGTTGCAAAAATCTCATTTTTGTTGTTTTATAGTGTTAAAATCATCTCATATCCTAAACATGACTTAATTAGAATGAAAACAATAATTTTCTCTGTATCTAATTGAAACATCTACATTCCCAAAACTTGTTGAATTAAGCCTGAACCGAGGGACTAAAAAATTATTAGCAGAACTATCTTGAAAAAATTTGACATTTTTACTAATAACACTTATAATAATAGTAATAATAAATAAATTTCAATAGTTTAATAGTTGTTTCAGGTGAAAACTTGATAAAAGTTCAAATTAATTTTAAAATCAATTCATCACTACGACTCCCTTTAACATTATCATTAAATTAAAACACTTTTCGGCACACAACACCTCGTCGCACGCAATTTTCCAAAACTCAAAACCGCACTCGCTCCTTTTCGAAAAATTCCAGCCAACTTACTCGACAAAACTGGGCTCCCTGTCCGCGAAAATCAAGCTACAGCCACCGAGTTGTGGTCCGGGAACTGGCGAAAAGTCGGGAAATTTTTGGCCGGCAATCTCAGTGAGATTTCGCGCCGCGACGCTCAACTGTCGGAGGGTGACTAAAGATGCAACAGCGTCCAGCATGCCGTCGAATAGTACGCATGTCAATATTTAGTACGGGCATATGTACTGGATAAAAATGATTTGAATGTCTCCGAAGCGGTGTTTTTGTCGGATTGATTTTATCGCACCTCGACGCCGAAAAACAGTTTGTTTGGGAAAGTTCTTGCGGAGGCGACGATGATGCCTGCGGGGCTTTGACAAAGGTTTGTTTGCTGCTTGGTGGCGATTCATGCGTGAAAATTCAAATTTTTAACGGGGTGTTTTGGTGGATGGGGCGATGGGTGTGTGGTATGTGGGGTATGGAATGGAGTGCATGGGGTTTTACGACGATTGATTTATAATGGGCAGGGTGGGGGCTAATAATGGGGTTTAGTTGAGGATTTACTTAGATAATTGCAGGCGGGGAATCATTATCAATATTATCATAAAACGTCCTGGGAGAAACTAATGAGGATATACAGTGTACACCTAATTAATTTTGATAAAGGCAGGTTTTAGTTTTAATTTTATAGTACAAAAGCCGGTTGAAATTCCGTAACAATTCAACACTGTTATTCTACTAATAGGAAACTAATCCACCAGGTCAGAAATGTAAATTTCGTACACAATACATAATTGAATATCATGCTTTGATTTAATTAAACTTTATCAGTTTATGTTTATACATATATGTATTTTTTTTATTTCTGAGTTTCTCGTAGCAACTAAGCAAATTGGTTTTTTAAGGTGATTGTAATTAAATAAATCTATTCACCAATTTAAATATCAATTCCTGAATTTTTACTTTCTCAACAATATATTGAAGTCACTTCAAAAATCACCTACTCTCATGTTTCCTCGATGATTCACATTTTGCAGATTACGAAAACGCAGATTTACCGTTTCCATATATCGTTCTATCGCTGAGATTTTAATTGTAACGATACTTACCAAAATTTGTGGATTTATTACTTTTGAGAAATTGGTGACATCATTAGTAATTAGTAATAAATCTAAAACGAATTGTAGACATGTTCCTTAATATACAGGGTGCTCACTAAACATGTGGCAAAAATACAGGGAGTTATTCCTTGGATTATTTTAAGATTTTTCTGTCCTTAGACGATTTTCGGAAAGGCGCCTTGGTTCGAAGATACAGGGCGACAAAAAATTTTTCCATTCTTCAATTTTTCATTTCTTCAGTTTTTCCATTTGCAATTTAGGTTTAATTTTCCAGTTTTTAATATTTCGAATTTTAAATTTTGCAATTTTTTCAATTGAATTTCTCGAGTTTTCAAACTCTATTCGATTTTACAGCGTTTCAACGTTATAATTTTTTGTGTTCTCAATTTTTCGATTTACGATTTTTTAGTTTTTCATTTTTGTTGTTTTTTCAATTTTTGCATATAAATCCAGACTCTACTTATGAATACCGTCCACTCACCCTTTCTTCATTCCAGTGACTACTCTTAACATTGTTTAGTCTTACCTTAGCAAGTACTAACCCCGCCCACCCACCCTTTATTTTCTTATAAGGTATGTTATTTGCCAAAATCAGTCTTATCTTAGCATGTACGAATTTTTCATTTTATCACATTTCCGATTTGCAATTTTTAGTTTCGGTTTTTTTTTCTTAATTGTTACACTTCCTCGATTTTTCACTTTTTCGAGTTTATAATTTTTTGTTTTTTTTTTAATTCAATGTTTTAAATTTTTCGTTTCTTCAATTTTTCAACCCACAACTCTTCGAATTTTCATTTTGAAATTTTTCAGATTGCCGATTTTTCAATTTTTCGGTTTTTCAGTGTTCTGATTTTATAATTTTTCCCTTTTTCCATGTGAAAGTTTTGAATTAGTGGATTTTTCAATTTTCGTTTCTCCAGTTCTTCGATTTGCAATTTTTCGTTGTTTCACTTTTTGGATTTTTGCAATCTTTCGTTTTTTCAGTTTATCGACTTTTCAAGTTTTTCCGATTTTTTAGTTTTACGATTACTGATTTTTCGATTTTTCAGCTTTTCAAATCAAAAAAATGGAAAAATTACAAGATAATACCTAGAATTGAACAATCAAAAATGAAAAAACGAAAAAGTTTTTTCTTATTTTATAATTTTTCTTTTTTCAATGTGTAATTTTTTAATTTTTCGATTTAATTGCAAATCTTCTTTCCAATTTTTCGATTCATTGATTTTTTAGATTTTAAGTTTCTCGATTTTTAGTTTTTCAGTGCTTCAGTTTTTCGTTTCTCCATTTCTTCGGTTTGGAATTTCGATGTTTCACTTTTTCAATTTTGCAACTTTTCAGTTTTTTTCGATTTCTTAATTTTTCCATTTCTGATTCTTCAATTTTTCATATTTTCGCATCAGAGAAATAGAAAAATTGCAAAATTATAAAATTGAAAAATCAAAAATTAAAAAACCAAAAACTTTAAAAAGAAGATTTTGAAAAATTAAAAACTGGAAATCAAGAACTTGAAAAATTGAGGAAACGAAAAATTGAAAAATCGAAACATTAAAAATTGAGAAACCCAAAAATTGAAACAGTCCAAAATTGAAAAATTATAAAAATCCAAGAATTACAAAATTTGATGCAATTTTTTTTGTTTCCGTTTTTATTTTTCAATTTTTCGCTTTTTTATTATTCTGATTTTATAATTTTTCATTTTTCAATGTGAGATTTTTTTATTTTTCGATTTGCAATTTTTCTTCTTTTTTCGAAGTTTTTCAGTGTTTCAGTTTTCAGTTTCTCCATTTCTTCGGTTTGCAATTTCAATGTTTTACTTTTTCGATTTCTGATTTTACAGTGTTTCAACTTTTCGAATCAGAAAAATGGAAAAATTGCAGAATAATTATAAAATTGAGAAATCAAAAATGAAAAAACGAAAAACTTTAAAATGAAGATTTTGAAAAGTCAAAAAACTGGAAATCAAAAACTTCAAAAATTGAAGAAACGAAAAATTGAAAAATTGAAAGATCAAAAATTGAGAAACTAAAAAAATGAAATACTGCAAAATCGAAAAATAGAAAAATCAAAAAATTACAATAATTTAATGCAATTTTTCGTTTTGGTTTCTTATTTTCTTTTTTCCAATTTTTCGTTTTTTCATTATTTTGCTGATTTTATAATTTTTCTTTTTTCAATGTGTAATTTTTGAAATTTTCGATTTAATTTAAAATCTTCTTTACAATTTTTCGATTCATTGATTTTTTAGATATTAAGTTTCTGGATTTTTAGTAGAGATGTGCCGACTGCAGTCGGCCGACTAGTCGGCTTTGTCAAAACCGGTTAAAATTAGTTTAATCGACCGAAAATTGGTGTCAAAGTGTAGATAATCTTCCGCTAGTTACGATTCTGTAATCGCCGTCACGATATATGGTCCAATAAACACGCAAAGCGAATTTAAAATTTCCAAAAATTTTCCAAAAAAGTGGTTAAAATTGGTTAAGTATTGTATAAACTGCCCTAAATTGTGTTATTCTTTATTTTTGTACTGAGTTACTACAAAAAATTAAATGTTAAAATTATCCAAAAAAATTTAACACATTTTTTGGAAAAAAAAGAAACTTCAGTTATTCCTTTTATTAAAATAAAACAAGTTTTTAAGGTAGTCAGAGAAATAGAAAAAAAACCCACTGTCTGTTGCATTTATAAACAGTCGGCCGACTGTAGTCGGTACATCTCTAATTTTTAGTTTTTCAGTATTTCAGTTTTTCAATTTTTTAGTTTTTTCCGATTTCTTAATTTTTCCATTTCTGATTCTTCAATTTTTTATATTTTTGCACCAGAAAAATGGAAAAATTGCAAAATTATAAAATTGAAAAATCAAAAATTAAAAAACGAAAAACTTGAAAAAAAAAGATTTTGAATTGAAAACTGGAAATCAAGAACTTCAAAAATTGAGGAAACGAAAAATTGAAAAATCGAAAGTTTAAAAATTGAGAAACTCAAAGATTGAAATAGTGCAAAATTGAAAAATTATAAAAATCCAAGAATTACAAAATTTGATGCATTTTTTTGTTTCCGTTTTTTATTTTCTTTATTTTTCAATTTTTCGCTTTTTTATTATTTTGATTTTATGATTTTTCGTTTTTCAATATGAAATTTTTCTATTTTTCGATTTGCAATTTTTCTTCTTTCCAATTTTTCGATTCATTGATTTTTTCGATTTTTAAGTTTTTCAGTGTTTCAGGTTTTCGTTTCTCCATTTCTTCACTTTTTCGATTTCTAATTTTGCAATGTTTCAAGTTTTCGAATCAAAAAAATTGAAAAATTGCAAAATTATAAAATTGAAAAATCAAAAATGAAAAAACGAAAAACTAAAGTTTTTTTGAAGATTTTGGAAAATCAAAAAACTGGAAATCAAAAACTTCAAAAATTAAAGAAACGAAAATTTGAAAAATCGAAAAATCAGAAATTGAGAAACTAAAAAATTGAAATAGTGCAAAATCGAAAAAATTGGAAAATCCAAAAATTATAAAATCTAGTGCAATTTTTTGTTTCCGTCTTTTTCAATGTGGAATTTTCTCTTTTTCGATTTGCCGGTTTTCTTCTTTCCAAATTTTCGATTCATTGATAGTTTTGTTTCTTTAATTCCTCGTTTTGCAATTTTTCAATGTTTCACTTTTTCAATTTTGCAATTTTTCATTTTTCCAGTTTTTCGATTTTCAGTTTTTTCCGATTTCTTAATTTTTCAATGTCTGATTTTTCAATTTTTCAACTTTTCGAATTAGAAAAGTGGAAAAATTGCAAAATTATAAAATTCAAAAACTAAAAATGAAAAACCGAAAAACTGAAATAAAAATTTTGAGAAATCAGAAACCTGGAAATCAAGAATTTGAAAAATTGAAGAAATAAAAAATTGAAAAGGCGCAAAATCAAAAAAATTGATAAATCCAAAA